CCCCTGAGAACTGTCTGTCTGGGGTGGGGGTTGGGTCCCTTTAAGCACAGCCCTTGGCTAGCCTGAGACAGCAGCTCCACGCTCTAAGTCCTAATCTGATGCCCTGCCGGCACTACTTCCAGCCATCCTTAACCTCGGTTCAGAGTCCATTCAATGTGGACATGCTAGTTCGAATTAGCAAAATGCTAATTCGAACTAGTTTTTAGGTCTAGATGCACTAGTTCGAATTAGCTTAGTTCGAATTAACTAATTCGAATTAAGTTAGTTTGAATTAGTGCTGTAGTGTAGACATACCCAGAGGCTTGATTTATACCTTACACACGATCTTTTCAATAATGAAACCACAAAAAGCAATTCTTTACATAACTACAGTAAATCCAGAGCAACAAATGGGGGTTGATGTGTTAGAGGAGAATGGTACAATGAAGGGTAAACATCAAGGACCAGATGCTCAGCTAGTATAATTGGAGCTATGCCCATATTAGAGCGATAGACCCTATAAACATAGGTACATTTTGTGGAAATTCTCCGCACTGTATCATTACAAATGGAGAAAAATCCTTTTTTATATCCATATTAGGCACCTTCTGCATCTCTCATACTATATAATCAGATATAGAATCTGGCTTAGTCATTAGGGTATAGCAAACAGGAGCAATCTTGTATGATAGCAAGAGAATATACCCTAGATTTTCACATGATTATGGAAAATCAAATGCTGTCTCCCAAGAGTTGAATTAATGAAGTGGTTTTTACACACGTCTAATCGTCCTGAGATATACTGTATTCTGTAATGTTTGGACTGCTGGCTAGCCAAAAAGAACATTTCTTTTTGTGATGGCTTGGAGTCAGTGCTTTGCAATTCCTATAGAAGAAGGCTCTATTTCAGTTTATTTGATCTTGATATTTTTGAGAAAAGAGAATCTTGGTTTTGTACCTACATGGAAAGCCTTCCTCACATAAGGCAGAGCCTCAGCTGAAGTAAATGTTCACAGCTGCAAATGGATCCAGGATCTGCTCCTATGGTTCCAAATAGGCTGAATTGGGATTTCAGTGATGTAGAGGCCCATAGATCCACAAAGCTATGGTGGTGCCTTAGTTCCATTTTAGGCACCATTGTGATCAACAAAACTCTTGCTCGACTGCCACCTAATCAAGTAGGTTCCTAAACTCAATTTACACCTAAGTTTTTCCCTTTGGGCTTCCACTCTGCAGCCTCATTTAAGGTGCCTATTTCCTGCGTGAGTATGAACAGTGATAGGTCTCCAGATGCCCATCTTTCACCTAAGCCCCAGAACAAGTCACAAACTGGAAAACATAGATACATAGCAGCCCAAGCCTCTGGCCACACTTACCAGGTTGGGGCCCTCAGGCAAGTTCACATAAAACAAAGGT